AACTCCAGGACTGATAAAACAAACGCCAGCACATTAGGCTTTGGTTAGCTGTTTCCTCCCAAGGATAGAACTTGTTAAGAACAGAATGCTTTGGACTCATTTGGGATTGTTGCCAAGCCTGACAACCTGAGTTGATTCCCAGGCTCTACATGGTAGAAGGAAAAAAACAGCTCTGACAAATTTTATGCATGTGCTCTGTAGCACATCCCCTCACACGAAATCAGTTACATTAGACAAGCAACAAACCAAAAACAGAGCACATGATCTAAGTACTCTCCAGTAGTCTCTTTCTATGAACAAAGTGCTGGAGACCTTTCCCTAAACTTTCTGTGAGGACCTGCTAGGGTTTCCAGAGGTAAGATTCACAAGTGTGAGGGTCCTCCTCAAGTTTGTTCTCCCTTGGCCTGGTCTGCACTGACCTGAGAGCACTTTCCCAGTTCTAATTTAGATTGCTTAATCTGGTATAAGTTTCTGTTTAGTAACTTGTGTTTCTATATCCTGTTTGTCTTTCTAGTATGTTGGGAAGTAGCTTGTATGTGACTTCACTTTCCTGGTAACAGAAGAGTTGGTGACTTTTAGATTGTTACACTTTTGTTTTAGTTTAGAGTTAAAGACTACATCATTAGGAATCCTAATGTCTTAGACAGTTCCTGATAGAAACTTACCTCTAAGTGTTAACTTTTCTAACTTTGATGTTATGTTTGCTTTTTTATGGATTGTTAAGAAAACCTTGTTTTTATTTTGATTTCTTCTTTATCCCATAGGTTAATTAGAATTGCATTACTTAATTTTGAACTATTTTCCATTTATCTTGGTTGTTTCCAATTTACTATCTTTATGTAACTTCCTTTAAATTTATTGACACTTACTTAAGTGTATTAATTTTTTGACTATTTGTTCATCCAGTTATTGTCAAAGGATAGTTAGAATTGCTCAGGATTTGGAGGTAATGGGAGGAACAATATGCAGGTAAAACATAATTTCAGGAAGGGAGACTCTGTCAGGTGACTTTGAGCTGAATACAGATGACCCCATAAGTAAACACATAGGCTACACAGAAGTAGGCACAAAGGCTTACAGGCCAGAAACACAGACAGGTTGGTGAAGGCCATGTTTATAAAAACACCACCACCACAATATGGCATTTTACCAGAAATAATCATATAACATATATGAATTCATTCCTACCTTGTGGTTTTTATGCTATTTTTTCCCCTACTTAAAGTGAGTGTGTGTTAGTTAGTTATATGCTGTATGTAGAGGTTAAGAACAATTTGGGGGGGGGCATGAGGGAGTCATGGGATTGAGAGACATGCTTTCTACACAGGCCTGGCTGTCCTACAACTTAACTACATAGACCAGTCTGATCTTGAAGTCACAGAGCCAGTGGACAACTTTGGGAGTAGGTATTGTCTTTCCACTGGCTTCCAAGGTTCAAACTCAAGTCTCCATTCCTGTTTCCTGAATCAGGATAGTTTCTATACTGGGTTCTCCAAGTTATCTATGGAAAGTCTGTGACTTTTCTGACTCTTATATTTTACACCTACTCATGACTGAAGACCTCTACTGTTCATACTTTGCCTTCTCACCAATATAAATGACAGAGCCTGTACAACAGTACGACTCATACAGGTTTTAAATAAAACCATAACTGCAATGTTTTAGTTTCTTAGTACAAAGTCATTCCTTCATTATAAATTTAAGATTTTTATTTGAAGTAGCGTATAGTTTTTGTACCTAGTTACAGCGTAGTGACTTTAGCTGGCTGTGAAACACAAAACATTCTTTTGGTTTTTTTTTTTTTTTTTTTTTTTGAGGCAGGGTTTCTCTGTATAGCCCTGGTTGTCCTGGAACTCTCTTTGTAGACCAGGCTGGCTTTAAACTCAAAGAGATTCGTCTGCCTCCACCTCCCAAGTGCTGGGATTTAAAAGGTGTACATTGCCGCCACGGCCATCTGGCTCAAAACATATTCTTAATTACTCATTAAATTGCCTAAAAATCACAGTAGACTAATGTTTGCATGCATTGAGGGATTTTCGTTACAATCAAATAGGCAGTTTTATTTCTAATGGAAAGGATAGAAAGACTTTATATATTACCAGGCTGGAGAGATAGCTCAGTAGTTATGGTTCCCAGTATCAAACATGGTGGCTAACAGCCATCTGTAACTCCAGGTTCCAGAAGATCTGACACCCTCTTCTGATCTCTTCAGGCACTGCATGTTCATGGTAAATAGACAAAATACCCATATACATGGAATAAAAATAAATGAAGATTCAAAACTGTATTACAAGGATCAGGGGTGCTCGAGACCTTGGTTCAGTGAGTAAAAGCACAAGTTGTGTTTGTTCAGTTCTCAGCACACACGGTGGCTCAGAACCAATTCCAGGGTTCTCTGACCCCTTCTTTTGAACTCAAACATTAATTTTGGTGTACCACATGCGTACATGCAGGCAAAACACTCGTATACATTTAAAAAGAAGAAAGACTGAATTGCCTTCAGTCGAGTATATGCTAGCCAGCTTTCTATCACTTTGACAGTATACCCAAGGTGGGGGCATTATAAGGAAGGAAGGCCATCATAGTTTCAGAGGCTTTAGTCTGTAGTCTCATTGTTTTGGCCTTCTGTCTGTTCATCTCAAGGTAAAAATAGGAAGTTAGGACCAGAGTGGTGTCCCTGGTGCCTGCTATCCGCTTGGCCTTACCTATGTATGTACTGTAGGCTCCACTACTGTGACATCCAGGCCCTTGGAGCTACTTTAGATCCAAGTATCAAATAAATGCCTTGCGTTTACCTCCACTTATCTCCCCCCCTTTAAACTCGTTCCTCCTCGACTTTGAATGTTCGAATGAGAATTCTGCAGTAGCACATTGCCTCAGCAGCATAGTATTGAACATGCACTGTTGAGATACCTTTAAAATACAGAGGTGAATGAAACCGGTGTAGCTTTTGGGATGGAACAGTTAATTATGTATAGTAAGGTGGTCAGCTATTATATTTTTTCATAAGTCTGATATCTTTTGATAACTTAGAAAGTACAGAAAAAAGTCTAAAGTAAGATATATTCATTTACCTTATTCAATGTGATTTTTTTTTTTTTGTCACTGTATTTTAATTATTCATTGCTCTTAATTACTTAGACTTAGACTTTGAGTAAAAACTCAGACATTCTGTTAAATAAATGGGAAAATTGACTATCCTCGTTTTAAAATTGTCTGAGGAAATGAATACTACATTTGTATATAGACTGCAGTTTTCTGTTATCTTTATTTGATGCTTGAATGAAGAGCACTGCTGTTTACTTAGATAAGCTTTACTATGTCATACAAGGGTCACATGTAAGTGAGAAGGAAAAGTATTGAAAACTGAGGTGTGGGGTAGTTTTCAAATTGACTATCAAGCTTGGAAAAGGTTCACATTTCTAAAGTGAGGTTTCATCAGTTTAATGTGATTGGTTTATTAAAAGTTTTTTTGTTTTCTTTTGTTTTCCTAGCAGACTTTCAAGTCTGCCTTTGATCTTGTTTGCGGGTTATAGCTGGTTAGAACACTGACTGTTTTGTTTTTATGAGATAATACTGGATTTATTGTGTTATTGGCAGAGGTGATAGGTATTAGCAGAAATGTAGCAGTAAAGATTTGACTTTTTTTTAAAAACTTTTATTTATTGTTTGTGATATCATATCAGGCATACCAATCCCCCCTGTTCCCTAGAATATGCCTGCTGCCCTCGCAACCCCCCCCAAAAAAAAAATTAAAACAAATTAAAAAAAGCTCCTAAAACTAACGAAAGCAATGAACCAAAACAAAATAAAGAAGAATCTTATCATGGAAGCTGTAGTATGACTCTGTGCTGAGTCACACAGTTTACCCTTTTGTCCATACAAAAGATTTGATTTTTAAAACATTTCTCCTAGTCCTTCTTTTGAACATTGATTTTTTCCAAAAATCACCAATCGTTTTAAATATTGATTTTTATTATTTTTCAATTTCAAGTTTATTCTCATACTAAGTGTTACATGGCAATTAATACTTGTATATCTTTAATTTGTTTTCATTTTCACATTAAATTTTGTATCCGGTATATCACAAAGATTTATTCAGAAATTTATTGCTAATTATGTTCAAGGTAGTCAGTGAATTTAAACGCCTCAGATACTTGTGAATGTAATAGTGACATAAAAGTTTCTTGTTCCTCAGGGATGCTATAAATCATGTTAATTAGCATACATCTACTTTAATATATATCCACACTCACTTAATTTGCCATTATTTGGCTATACATTGTATTTAAGATGATTACTAAACCCAGAAACTACCTGTCTAAGCAATCTTTGTTATTTTTTGTAGTCATGTGCACATCATACAATTTTCCTTGCAGAGAAATGATTTGTGTTTGAAAGACTAGAGCTTTCCTCAGGTTCTTGAAGTATTCTTGGTACATCCTAGGATGGAGTCTGGTAGACTAATGAGTATAGTCCCTAGTGGATTGATGTACTTTTGTTTTCTTTGTTTACTGCTATTTTGAACACTACAGCTTATAAATTCATGGCTAAGCAATAGTATGTTCTTGGTGAAATTAGTGCTTGATAAATTAACACCTTTGGCATTTTTAAAATATATTTATTATTCAGGTCAACTTATTTGCTGCTTTCTGACCTTAATTCAGTCATCAATTATAGATACTTTATTTAAAAGTAGTGACAGGGTGGGGTTTGTAGGGAGCCAGTGGTGGAAGCCCAACACATGAAAGGCCCTGGGGTTGATCTTGAAGATGGTAAAACAGCAGCAAAAAAAAAAAAAAGTTAAGGTAGATTTTATCTTGTTAAGATAGATTTACTTGTTTTTGTATGCTTTACTTTGATAGACTGCCTGATGTGTAGAATGGAAATAAATGTTCACATAAATTCAGTGCTTATTCATGCTCTTTTCTTTAGCCAAATATAATTAGTTCTTTTTTTCCTTTTATTTCCTTTTTTTTATTTTTAAATCAAAATGTTAGACTTACACAAGTACTAGCAACAACTCTATATCTGGATCATTGAAGCGCTTGGAAGACACTGCAGCACGATTTACAAATGCAAATTTCCAGGAAGTCTCTGCACATACCTCTAGTGGAAAAGATGTTTCAGAGGCTAGAGGGTCAGAGGGCAAAGGGAAGAAATCTTCAGCTCACAGCTCAGGGCAAAGGGGCAGGAAGCCTGGTGGTGGAAGAAACCCAGGAACCACTGTGTCAGCATCTAGCCCCTTTCCACAAGGTATTTTTTTTTTTTTTTTAGTTAAAATACTTCAATAGTAGTCAATAATTGCTAATGTTTTGTAAAAGAATTCATTTATTCTAGATTATGCAATTAGTTGGTAGTAGTGTAGGATTACTTCTAAAAGTATTTTAAATGTTTCTACAACTTTGCTCTCCTTGTATTTAATGATTTATGTTTTTAAAAACTAATTTTAATGCTTAAATGGCTGAAGAATAGAGATTAAGATTAAGCTCCTGTTCTTTCAAGGATAGGTACTCTCTTTCTACAAGCTGTTTTTATTTACTTTTCCTAACAACATGTTAAGTTTTAGTAGGTAAGTGAGAACTGAGCATGTCTTGTGTAATCTAAGTAGATCTTAGTGATACAGTGATAAGCAGTGCATTTTTTCCAAAGCTTGAGTTAAAAATAGATTTTTACTTATCAGCCCTATGTTCTGTGCTCAGGTTGCTATATTAATAGAATACCCTGTATATTTGAATTCCACATAAACAACAAATATTATTTTAGTGTATTTCCCAAATACTGTTTGGTGTTAGATTGAAATTCAATATTTACTAGGCATGTGTAGTTTTATGGCCACCCTCTTTATGAAAATTAGGAATACGGCTAACTTTTAAAATTTATTCACTTATGCTTTGTATGTAATTTTAAATGTGAACACAAATACCTTGAAAAACAGAAATGTTAAAATTTGAGAAAAAAAGTAGCTTGTTTCCATGTGTTTGTTGTTCCCCCTAGAAGTAAATGAGAAAAGTGCCATTTGTTTTTGTTGCGATAAACTTAAATTCAAAATCTTACAGTAGTATGTAAATAGTAGATTGCTAATTTGTTGATCTTTCATTAAAAATATATTAATACATTTCATACTAGTAATAATTAGGAGCTACAGGGTTATAAGTCTCAGGTATATGTATGTGCATATAGTCCTTTTTAACAAGCAGTTGAGTAAGCATAGATAAAACAGAATGCCAAAGTCACTATTTTATTTAAATATTATTTTATACTGCTTTGAAAATTAATCAAACCTTAATCAACCTTAAATGTAAGTTCATTTACATTTTCAATGAATATTGGATTAGCAGAAGTCAATAAGACTATTAAAATTCTTTATTTTGGTTTGAGTTTTAAGATTTAGTCCTGCCTGGCCTTTTGTGGCTTCTGATCTGCCTTCCTCGGTCTTCTAAGTGCAGGAACTGTAGGTGTGGGGTTACCTGGCATGCTTTTATTCTTAAGTTTTTATTTCTATGAAAGGCTAATCTATTTTGAAGAGGTAGCTCCTATAGTTTAGGAATTTTGAAGATAGAAAATATTTTACAGTTCTGTACTAAGGCAAGCAGTAAAATGTTGAAATATGAAGATAAGGTATTTTAAGAGGGCCTTTTTTATTAACTGTACCTTGTGACTTTTAGAAAATTTAAATACATTAAGTAGTTAAATAGTTAAAAGTATTTGTGTCTGTCTGCCTGTCTGTCTTTTAGTTTTAGGGAGGGATTGAGACCAGGGCCTTCCATGTGTTGTGCAAGCCCTATAGTTTAGTTTTACGAAACAGATGTTAGAGTTGAGTCTGTTTAGATGCCTGTTTGATTTGTCAAATGTAAAGATTTTTGTGGTGATGGAAACTTTACTCCCAGGGTAATTTTTCTACCAGGCAAACAAGGATTTCGAGGTTCTTAAATGCTGCATGATGAAAGGAGAATGCTAAGCGTTTTTTGACTAGAGTGAGGAGAGAGAATAAGCAGTTGGGAAAGAGGCATTAAAAAAAACTACTTTCTTTCATGATTTTTTCAGTCTTGTTTTTAGGTTCATTTACTTTATGTGTATGATTGTTTTGTCTGTGTATCATGTGCATGTCGGAAGAGGTCAGAAGAGGGCATAAGATCCACTGGAACTGGAGTTACAGGTGGTTGGTTGTAAGCGACCATGTGAGTGCTGGGAACCAAACTTGGGTACTCTGCAAGAGAAACAAATACTCTTAACCACTGAGCTATCTCCCCACATGATAATTTCTCTCTCTCTTTCTTTCTTTTTTTTTTTTTTTTTTTAAAAAATCAGTAAAACAGTATTCATGGCTGGTTTTCCATTATGAACAAAAGATAGCTCCTGATGGGCAATTGTGGCACATGGCTTTAATCACAGCACTGGGGAGGCAGAGACAGGTGGCACTTTGTGAGTTCGAGGCCAGCCTGGTCAACAAAATGAATACCTTGACAACCAGTGCTACACAGAGAAACCCTGTCTCAATCCCCCCCCCCCCAATAGTGAAACATTTAAAGAAAAAGACAGTTCCCTGGAGAACACATTGTAGTTTTGACAGATGTTCTCATCTGTGTTTGGTCTTTCCTTGAGGGAGATCTGAGGAGTTCTGATAAAAGGTGTTAAACCTTGCACTTGGGAGGCAGAGGCAGGAAGATCTCTGTGAGTTTGAGGTCAATCTGGTCTACAGAGTGAGTTTTAGGGCATCCAGGACTATTTGACAGAGAAGCCCTGTCTTGAAACCCCCCCCCCCCCCCCCCAAAAAAAAAAAGGTTAGGTCGAATGAGGCATAGTATATAACATTAAAGATAATTTTAGAGAAAAAATTGATTTCAATAATAACCTTTCTTGTATCAAGATTTGGTACTTAGTGATGACCTATGTTTTATAATTTACTTTTCAAACATCCATTTCTTTTTGATAATTTTTGTCTGTTGCTTAAAGGAGCTTTGTGTTCCAAGTTTTCTTCCTCCTCCACCTTTTTTTTTTATTTGTGTTTTGCTGCAGGCAGTTTCTCAGGAACTCCAGGCAGTGTGAAATCATCTTCTGGAAGTTCTGTGCAGTCTCCCCAGGACTTCCTAAGCTTCACAGACTCAGATGTGCGTAATGACAGTTACACTCACTCCCAGCAGTCATCATCAACCAAAGATGTGCATAAAGGAGAGTCTGGGAGCCAGGAAGCAGGAGCAAACAGCTTCAGTTCTCTGGTGGGTCACCCTGGGACCCCAACTGTCATTTCACAGCCCAAAAGCTTTGAAAATTCACCTGGAGATTTGGGAAGTTCCAGCCTCTCTACAGCAGGCTATAAGCGGGCTCAGACTTCTGGTATTGAGGAAGAGGCTGTAAAGGAAAAGAAGCGAAAAGGAAATAAACAAAGTAAACATGGGCCTGGCCGACCCAAAGGAAACAAAAATCAAGAGAATGTTTCACACCTTTCAGTTTCTTCTGCTTCACCAACATCATCTGTAGCATCAGCTGCAGGAAGTGTAACAAGCTCTAGTCTTCAGAAATCTCCTACATTGCTCAGGAATGGAAGTTTGCAGAGTCTTAGTGTCGGCTCATCTCCAGTTGGTTCAGGTAGGGATATGTGCCTTGTTCCCCCATTCATCCCTCCACTACCCTTTCTTTCACTATCCAAAAAGTTGTTGTTATTAGTAAACTTTGAATTGCTAGGCTACATTTAATTAACATGGTGTTTCTTAAAATTAATTTTTAAAAATGTATATTTTGGTAAAACAGGGCTATTAAATATCCTAGACTGTGCTGGATCACTCTGTAACCTAGACTGGCCTCAGATTCTTGTTCATTTATCAGCCTTCCACATGTTAGAATTGTAGTTGTCTGGTACCGTGTCTGGCCATTTTTTCAAGAGGAGATGGCATGTATGATAGCACATGTATGGAAGTCAGAGGACATCTTGAAGCAGTTGATCCTCTCCTTCCTTCGACTATGTGCGTCTCAGGTTATCAGGTTTGAGGGAAACTGAAAGTAGTTGACAGTCCTGAAAAAACTATTTGGTGCTTAAATATTCGGCATTAATCTTGTGTTACTTAGTTAACTGTAAATTAAACCAGGGTTCACATCACTTCCCCATTGGCTTTTGCTTTCTTATTTTGTGCTCTTTTGCTAAACTTCATTTTTAATTTCACTTTCTCTGTAGTTGCACCTAAATAATGTGAATTACTCTGTTTGGGACTTTTATTTTTAAATCAGTGATAAATAACCAAAGTTAGAATTTATCAGGGACATTTCAAGTCAAATGATAGTTGAATTGCTTTAAAATTTGTTATAAATGCATTTACCATTATTTTTATCTGAAACTAGAGTTGATTGCATAAATTTGAAAGTGGTCCCAGGGCTTACTTTTATTTTTAGTTTTGAAATACTGTCCCAGTCTTGTCTAGAAGTGACTATCTAGCACCAGTAGGCCTGAAATCAGCCACGAATCAGTTGTCTGTGTGTTTTCTTGGTGTTGAGATGTGCGCCACCATACTTCTTAACATTTTGTGACAGTACAAATGAATTTATATATTACTCATGTCAGTGGTGTGCTTCTGTGTAACCTGTAATTTGTGTTACAAATAATTTTAAATCTTTAAAAAATACTGAAAGCGCATACTTTATTCTTTTATTTGTTTTAATGATTTCTGTTATGTCTATGAGAGTTTGCATGTCTGTGTTCCATGTCAGTGCCTGGTGCTTTCTGAGGAAAAAGTATGTGTAGGACCCCTGGAACTGGAGTTACAGATGATTGTGAGCTGCTGGGTGGGTGCTGGGAACTGTACCTGAGTCCTTTGCAGGGTGTTGCTTTGTAGGTCTGGGTGTCTTAGTACTCATAGACATTTGCCTTCCTCTTCCTGTCTGTGCTGGGACTAAAAGTGTGTGCTACCACATCCTGCCTTGGGCTTTTCTTCCTTTTCTCTCCTCTTCTCCCCTGCCCTCCCCTCTTCTCCCCTGCCCTCCCCTCCCCCTCCCCTCCCCTCCTCTCCTTTCTCCTTCCCTTATTTTTCCCTTCCCCTTCCCCTTTCTTTCCCTCTCCCCCCTCCTACCCCTTCCTCCTCCTGATTTATTATTTTCATTTATGTGTTATCTGTGTGATGGCATATGCATGGGCACCCATGGAGGTCAGAACAGACAGGGGCAATGATTATGCTGGCGATGAGTTCAACAGACTATTGTGAACTCCCCGTGTAGTTGCTGGGAATTGAATCCAGATCCTCTTGGGGGTGGGGGAGCAAATGCTATTACCTACCAAGCCATTCTTCCAGCATCATCCTTTAACAGTTTCAAGTTTCATTTGTGTTTTATTTTTTCTTCTTGAATATGAGATAAATGGCTTTCAATAAACCTCACTCCTCTGCTAGCTTTGGATTTCTGATGGTTGAAATGAGATTTCAGCTAAGATACAATATTATGGACAATACTAGTTTTATTAGCTCATAATGAGAGGAGTAAGAATTGGTGTATAAAATAAAGTCAAATGAAAAAAATCTTCATTATATTTTTTCATATTGAATATTAACTTCTATAAATAGAAAATAACAGTGACCATTCCTAGAAAGAAGCATACATATATAATCCTATATGAAAACACTGTGTTATTTTAGGTCTCACTAAGTGCATTGTTACTTATATCTCATTTAGCAGTAGTTTTATGAAGGGCTATTGATGTCCTGGTTCCAGAGCTGGTAAAGCTGAGATTTGGAGGGTAAAGTTGCCCCATACAGCCTGGAGTTTTTTGTTTGTTTCTAATAGATCACTTAGGTGTCTATTGTGGTTTTCAAACAGCCCCCAATTTATTGGAATCTGTAGAAGAATTGTTTCATTGCTAGCACTATGGGGGGTTGTGGGGATAAGGTCTTCAGTCTTGTTGTTAACTGGCATGTTGGGTGGGATATTCTTGTATTCAGTATTTGTCTTTTATAGGATGTTTGCCAGAATTCCCAGCCCCTTCTCATTAGTTGTTAGTAGCACTCCTCCCATAATAAAAATGTCTCCAGACATTGTTAAATGTCCCCAGGAGGCCAAAATTGCTTCTGGTTCAGACCCACTGTTTCAGGAAGTGGGAAAAATAAATTACAGTGGGAACAAAATTCATTAAAAAGATTTAAATATATTGCACATTTGAATAAATGTTTTTTATTTACGTTTCCCGTGAGATTGTAAGGGACTAGCAATCAGCCTTAACCTTTTGCTACAAAAGTAAATTTAAATAAATTTACTCATAAAAATTGGATTCATATTATCTTTAGCAAAAGTTATAATAATTGAGTACCTTACTGAGAACATAAAGCTTAAATTTGTTTTTGTGGAGGCCTTTATTGAGTCTTGTACTTTTGAAACACAGACGGAAAAATTTTGAATTTCAAAGTTACATTTGAACGCTTTTTTGAATCACTTGTCTTTAGATTAATAGAATTAAAAAATAATGAATTTGCAGATCTTTTTTTTTAAATCTGGTACAGATTTAGGGATATTTTAGACATGAACAGTAATGTTAATACATTAGTTGCAGTACAGTGCTTAATTCATATTCCCTTTACTCCACTATTGTCTAAATATACTTATCTAGAAGTAATTTCCACTAGAAGATAGTATAGTTTTAATTCAATAAATTACCTCAATTTTTTAATAATGCAAATAATATTTTAATGGAGCAAATAAATTTCATGTTGTATTAAAACAATCTGATATGTCTTAAAATAACTAAGTTATAAAATAAAATTATTTTACTTAAAGCCGAGATAATTCCAATTATACATTTCTTTGGTCTTTCAAGATAAGGTTTTCTCTATGTCGCTTTAGAGCCTGTCCTGGAACTGGCCAGGATCTGCCTGCTGCCACCTCCCAAATGCCGAGATTAAAGGTGTGTGCTACCACTGCCTGGCCATTTTATGTATTTCTAATAACAATTTTGTAAGAACAGAGTGCTTTCTTACTGATACATAGGGAGTGAAGGGTCTGCTCTACAGACGCTTGGCTAAGTGCTATGCACATTTTGACAACTGCTGCTGAGTACTTGGTGCGCTTCACATTGTGGTGCACTAAAGACACATTAAATGTTAGTGCTTATTATATAGGGCAAGAAACTAACACATACAGATATCATATCATTAAGTGCTGAAACTGAATTCCTGATTTGAGAACAATTTTGTTACAAAATTCAACAGAGGTACTTTAATGTCAGTCTTTAAGCAGTGGAATGCATGAGCAAATTTAAACAGTGTAACTTTCAATAATAATAATACAATCTTTGTGCTATAAAATTTTTTTCCATTGGGCTAAATTTTAAATTCAAAAATCATTTATTAACTATGAAAGTCATTGCCATGTGGTGGTGATAAATGCCTATAATCTAGCACTTGGGGGCAAAGTCAGGTGATCTCTTTAGTTTTAGGCTAGTGTGGTATACAGAGTGAGTTCAAGGACACACAAAACTACAAAGAGAAACCCTGTCTTGAAAGCTCTGCCCCCACCCCCTCACCCCCCCAAAAAAAAGAAACCAGTCATCCCTCTGCCCCCGTCCAGCAAATAGTGGTGTAGGCAGAAGCCTGGAATGGTGGAATGGTGGCACATGCCATGAATCCCTGGAGTAGGGAGGTGGAGGGTCTCTATATGTTCAAAGCTAGCCTGGTATGCATAGGAAATTCTAGGTCAGCTAAAAGATATACAGTTGGGAGCCAGTCCCAAAAGTTTTTTTTTTTTTTTTTTTCCCCCTGACAGGATGATAAATTACTAATGATGAATGTGATCAACTGTTAATCTAGCTTAGTGAGGTTAGGGGCTATTTGTCACTCTATCTCCACTGCCAGCACAGCACATGAAACACTGCCTTTTAAAAGTGGAGTTAACATAGTAGTAAGCACTGAATTTATTTCATGTGGGCAATAATATCCTGTGTAATTGTACACACCCTTTAAATACTTACAGTTAGGCTATATAATACAAATCATTTCATTGTAAAGTTTTATATCAAGTTGGAAAAGACTAGAGAGAGAGATTAAGTTATACTTTGAAGAAGAAAAAGTAGTCCAATATTTACAAAAGAGAAAGTAAATATGTATTTAAGGAATAAACCTAATAGAAGAAGCTTAAGTTTGTGACACAGTTGGAGGTGATAATGGTTGAGGAAATTGGGGGTGGATGGGCTTATTGAGGTGAGTGTTAAGGTGAAGAAATAAGGCATTCTGGACTTAGTTTTGATAATTTCCATTATTTCACAATTTCTTTAATAGATAAAAGAAAAGAATTGCCTCATTTAGCCAATAGTAACAGGACTGGCTTATGTTTGAATTTCTAAAGAACATTGCAGGTACTCAAATTTGTTGTTAGTATTGTTATTTGATTTTGTTTGTCTTAGCCAAGGCTCTCTTGGATGGAGCTCAAAATCCTCCTCTCTCAGATGCTTGAGTGCAGGAATGTGCCACCATATCCATCTTAATACTAGGATTCTAATTCATTATTTTGTATAAATAAACTTTTAGGTTATGAACAGTTTGGTAGTTGTGTACCCCTCCCCTCAACTTTTTTTTTTTTAATGTGTGCCAGTGTTTTGTCTGCATGTTTGTGTGTACTTATATGTATACATGCTGCATGCATGCCTGTGCCCACAAAAGCCAGAAGAGGGCAGTGGATGCCCTGGAACTACAGTTACAGACAGTTGTGAGCTGCCATGCTAGTGCTTAGAACTGAACTCAAATATTCTCTGTAAGAACAGTGAGTGTTCTTAACCACTGAGCCATCTCTCTAGCTCTGGTGCCTGATCTTTTGAAACACTGAGTATTAGTATTTAGAATTTTCAAAACTGGTCCTTTTCTTCTGAAATCTTTATCACATTATATGGATTCATGATTTAGGGTGCTAGATAGATGATCTGCTTAGGGAATCAAGTATCCACTTGCAACCATAATGCCAAGAAAGAAGCATGCACCTGTAATTCCAGTTCATCTTTGGCAGGGTGGGAGGAAAACCAGTAATCTCCAGAAAGTCTCAGGCCAGATAGCCTGGTGTACACAGCGGTGAAAAACTAGAGACCCACTTAAAGCAAGATGGAAGGTTATTCCCTGACCTTCACATGTGTGCCCATACCCAAACACACACAAACATGCATATTCACATTAAAAAGATTAAGAAGACAGGTGAGTTCATCTATCAAGTAAACATGCTTGTCATGCAAGTCTGGTAACCTATGTTTGATCCGGCACTCATGTATAAGTGTGTGCGAAGAAAACTGCACAAATTTGTCCTACCTCTTCACATATACATGGCATGATGCATCCTCACGTAAATATAATATGAAGTTGATGGTTTAGCACTGTTAGCAGGACCGTGTTTTGTCCTTTTCAAAACATACAGCTTCCTACTTTTAAAAACAGAAGCCTCAAATCATTATAATACTGACATATTATTTGTTTAAAAAAAACACTTAGAATCTGTGCTGAAATTCTGTAGTGATGATAAATGCTACAAGAGGAGATTGTGAAAAAGACACTTTGGTTAATAAAGTCATAGAGGCAAGTTCTTGAAATGAGCAGGCTAATCAGGAGTGAAGGCACACCCCCCTTCACTTTTAGTTTCTACCAAAATAAAAGATTGCCAGTGATCAAATAATTCAAAGATTTCTTTCTAAAGAGTTCATGTGTATCATTCCTGACATGAAGCAAAGGAGCTTATTTCAGCTTATAGTTCTTAGCAGCCTTAGCATTGTGGTGAAGTTAAGATGGGAACTTTGATAACTAGTTAGAGCAGAGAGAAATGAATTCATGCTTAATGCTTGTGTTTAGCTTGGTTTCTACACCTTACACACAGTTGAGGACTCCTTGTCTAGGAAATTGTGCTATTCAAAGTGAGCTGGGTCTTCCCACATTGCTTAAGACAGTCCCACCAACAAGCCCACAGGTGAAATAAATCCATTATTGAGACTTTGTTCCCATGTGGTCCTAGTTTATGGCAAGTTGGGCATAACAACGCCATCTCTCTCAGATACTTGTATGAATATTGATATGGAAGCCCTATGTCTTTTTTGTACTCATTATACATGTGTATTCTTAGACTAACCCATTGATGTTTGTGAGAATTAGGTTTAATTTTCCCTTTATATACTAAATACTAGCTTATAATTTTTGTTCTTGCAGGTGTTTTTAGATGGACTTTGTCATGAATGTCCCCCATTTTCCTAGCCTGTTTCTTTTTCTATCCTTAAGTTACTAGCAATTTCTTGGCTAACTCCCCCTTTCCCCCTTATCCACAGAAATTTCCATGCAGTATCGGCATGATGGAGCTTGTCCAACAACTAGTAAGTTGTCCAACTGGGTTAGTAATCTGGGCTTTCTGACTCTTAGTTCGGTGCCTTTTATAATATATCACCTTTGAAAGTCTAATTTTTTATTTATTTATTTTCCAAAGTACATTACATTTTTATTGTGTAGATCTTTTTCTCTTATGAAGATGCCTTTGCATACATCTTGTGTTTGGGATCTGTATTATATTCAAATATTGCAAACTTACTTGGTCTTGTACTATAGTACTTACATTGTAGAATTGTGACCTCTGCCCTTGGTGACATGTTATTTTCAGTATTTGGGTGCCATCAGTCATAATGTAAACATAATTTTTCAGTATTTGTACATCAGCATTAGGTAGCTTTATGTTATGTTGAAATTATGTTATCCTGAAGTTTAAGAAGTGAAAATAAATGTTTGATAGGGTTAGAAGATGTAATGAGATTTTGTTTTATAACTTGTTGATTGTGCTGTAAAGCTGATTATTACATCCTGTAAGACTCACTTTTAGCAAGATACTATGTAGATGAATAGTGAGATACTATGTAGATGTCTTTTTTAAAGTAATTCTCAAAAATACATTACACTAAAGAAAGTGTCTCGGCAATATGATTATAAATGAAATGTAACATATAGGGAGTTATGTTATGGGAAAATGAAAACAGCTTTCTGTTTTAATAATTCAAGCAGAATATACTGAGATTTTTGTAAAAAAGATTCAGCCTGTGCCTATGTATTTCTTTTATGTGTTTGAGAATGATCTTAACCTGACATCCTTTTTTCCTTACTTAAAAGCTTTCTCAGAGTTGCTGAATGCAATACACAATGGTAAGTTTCATTAGAATCTTTTCTGGAGGTTCATTTCTTACAAAAGTTGCCTTTTGTCAAGAAGCTTAGTTGAAAGTTAGGACCATCTATTAATGAGATGAAATACAGTGCTCTGGTGAGTTATTTAATTGTTTGGCACTTTAGTAAAGACTTTGTAGACTGCCTACAGGAGGAGGATAGATAGGTTAGTGCAGTTCGTCAGTCTGGCTTTTATTGTGTCTTCTGAGTTTCTGAAAGTCTTCTATGTTTGCAAATAGTCTACTTCTGAAATCTTTCTTACTAATGCATTAGCAATTAGTATATGCAGCAAGGATTTTTTGCTTTTAACCACAACGTGGAATATGATTTTTGGTTTATTCAGATCTTTAATTTTAATACTCTTATATTTCATGTAGTGAATTAAGTGGAAGATAGTATTTTAAATTGTATCTAATTGTGGATCATTTTCACAGTGGGGTTACATCTTCTGCTTTGGATTCTAAGTCAGCATATAAGGCAAATTCTACCACTTTTTACTTTAACATGTAATTACGACAGTCACTATTGTAGAGCATGTGAGGATTTCTTCAGTTTCCCCAAGAACTTTCTGTAATCCCTTTGTATCTAAAAAATTTTAAATTACATTTATTTATCTATTTGTTTGTTTTTGTGTGTGGATGTGTGGTTGTCCTGAAGAGTCCATTCTCTTCTTATCTTCTTATACTACAAGTTTCCTGGATTGAATCAGGTTGTCAGGTTGGGTGAGTGTTTTTACCTGCTGAGCTATCTTGCTGGCCCTGAAAATATCTCTTTTCAGTATGATGCCATCTTTATTGATTTTTCTTTTTCGGTTGTTAATTAATTATGCTAATTTGCTTGAGACTATGATTTCAAGCAAATTTCTAGTACATTTTCTTTAACTTTGAATTTGTTAATGTAACAGATTTGCATTATATATAGGTTATAATGTAGGTGTTTACAGAAGACAGTAAACAGGAGACAAGTGACTTAATGAGCAGACATAAGTGAGCCTCCTTGCAGTGAGGGTAGAGGTGGTCGATGTGGGAAATCCAGAAGTATTGTTTATGAATAAAAGCATTATTTACAGGAATTTGTTTTTGATGTACAGTGCTGGAGATTGAACCCAAGGCCTTGTACATGGTAGAGAAATGTTCTGCCATGGAATTGCATGAGCTCCTTGTTTAAATTTCACTTTCCTACACAGCCTGTACAGATTTAGGAAATGAACAACTGTAGATACTAAAAATAGTAATGATAGAATAAAGAATTGAAAGCTTTTCTTGAGAATAAGTTAAACATTTAAACATTTTTTTTTTTACAGGATTTTGGGAGGATGGGGGAGTGTGAAAGCTGAAGAACCTTAGCAGACTTTTCAGTTTATATGGTTGTATTTTTATATGTTCATTAATCGCTGGAATATTAACGATTTAAGCCAGGTATACTTAAGTAAAGTAGATATCACAGGGAGGAATATTGATGAACTGTCACAAAGACTTTTCATGCCATTGTGCTTTGAGCTGCATTAATTTGATAGGAAAACTGTTTTTGTACTCTGCAGGTAAATAAATGTCGTCAGGTTAATATAAATGTGAACTTTCTTTAAAATTTTGGATTTTAGCAGATTGAGGTTATGAGATAATTCTTATTTGTGTTTCCTCTGCCCTATATTTCAGAGTAAAGAAGTGAATGGACCTTTATTGTGGGGGGGGGATATAAAGGCAAATTAAGGATTTATTTCCATTAAATGATACATAGTGTAGACTTTTTTCTCTGTTAGAAATGTACTTTAAACCTTATAGATTTATTGTTTTGTTTCCTTCTTATTTAAGAGCGTGCGTGTGTGTGTGTACGTGTGTACACATGTATACATGATGGGGAGTGTACTGTATATGGAGATCAGAGGACAAATTTGTGGAGTTGCTTCCATCTATCAACCTTTTTAGATATAGATTTGGGTTATTAAATTTGTGCTTCAAATGCCTTTATCCACTGAGTTATATTATTGGCTCCCTGTGTGTGTGTGTCTGTGTCTGTCTGTCTTTGTGAATGTGCACAGATTGTAGGTATGTACACCTGTGTGTATTTGATTTTGATAGAAATTTTGAGGCTCCTTTTACTTCTGATAAGTATATACTAGGTCCTCTGTTGTGTATACCAGGAATACTATTTTTTTTTTTTTCTTCACCTGTATTTTACTCTTGGAGTTGAGTAATGTTCAGTTTTTCTCAATGTTATTTAGGCATTCCCTATAGTCCTTTCTCTTTAGCACGGAAGTGCAGTAGTCATTAAACAACACCATATGTCTCCTCTTTCCAGCTCTGGAAGATAGAATTGACAAACTCCACACATGTAGTACAGATGCTAACATTCATCATTACAATGAGTCTTAGCCATTATCCATAGAAGGTACCCTTTAGCAGGTTGAGGAAAATTGGTTACTGACTTGATCTCTTTATTTTAAACCACTCAGAATTCTTGTTTTCCTGTGTTAGTTTTGCTTGTATATTTTGTGATAATTTTATTTCAGCTGCACTAAGTACTTAGCATATAACTTAGCATATAGTATTTTCATATCCTTTTATTTTAATAAGTATTAGCATCCTATCACTCTTCCCATACAACCCCCTTGAGCTCCCCCCCCCCTTTTCTTTTTACTTACTTTAATTAGTCAGTCAGTCAATTTATTTTGAGACAGGGTCTCATGTAGTCTATTCAGCTAAGAATGATTTTCATACCATAATCTTGCTTGTTCTCTCCAAATCCTGGAATTGTAGTTGGTGGGGCTATGTATCTGGCCTCTGTTTTCGTTATCTTTAATATTCATTGTTTCCTTCTTTAGAGGGCGGTGTTATTTCAAGACATGGTTTCTTTGTGTAATAGCCCAAGCTGTAACTTGCTTTATAGACCAGGCTGGCCTTATACTCAGAGATCCACCTGCTTCTGACTCCCAGAGTGCTGGGATTAAAGGCGTGTACCACCTCCTCCTGTCTGCTTCCTTCTAAATGATGCCGTCTGCATATGTGTTGAGAGAAGGAAGTATTGTTATAAGGTGTATTAAATTATTTTTAGCTAACATCTTTTCAGACTGTTAGGGAGTGAACATGAGTGTTCTAATTTATAGAATGGAGTCAGTACCTAAAATCCTTAGTTTTCACATATGGAAAATGCATTATCAGTATAGACATCTGTAAAGTACAAAATCTTTCTCAAGCCCTTTTCATCTCCTCCCTCATTTGATAAATACACATTAAGTTCTTTCCATATAGAAGAGTTTTGGTAGTTGCTTTGGGAAAATGTATATTATAAATTGATCCTGCTTTTGGGGAATACACTCTAAACAAGAGGTAAATGTGTTTTTAAATAACATTCTCAAGAAATATAGTTAGTAATATAGGAGTAAGGAAATATGGGAGTAAAGGAAAATTACCTTTGAAGGAAAAAGATGTGCTGGGAATATAGCTTTTGACCTGTTTACTTAAGAGTGTATAGGAGTGTATACTTAAGAGTGCATCAGAGCCTGATTAGCACAAGTAGTTGTCCCACTGAAGTGTGGCTGTGTTTATTACTTTCCTAATGCTTTGGTAAAACACCATAGCCAAAAGCAGCTTACAACTCTCAAATCAAATTCTCTCATCCAGGAAAGTCAGTGCAGGCACTCAAGACAGGAAACTGGAGGCAGGAACTGATACAAAGACCATGAAGGAGTGCTCTTACTGGCTTGCTTCTCATGGCTTGTTTAGCCTATTTTCATAGCATCTAGGACTGTCAGCTTAGGGGTGGCTCAAATAAGGTGAGCTGTACCTTCCCACATTCAATCAAGAAAATGCACCATAGGTTTGCCCAAAGGTCAGTCCTTTAGGAACATTTTCTCAATTGAAGTTTTCTCTTCCCAGATGATGCTAACTTTAGTCAAGTTGACAAGCAGCCAGCACACAGACTGCAAAGGTGACAGTAATGACGGATATTTGATTCATAACTATAGTGAGATAGTCCTTCTGTGGCACTGACCACGCCCATTGGGGGGTGGAGCCATGGGCGGAAGTGACCTGTGGAAGGAGGTCGGAGGGGGCCAGGAAAGGCGCTCTCTTTCTGGCGTGACTCGGACAGGAGAGGATCGGGTTGAATTTCCTGGTCTTCATCTGTCTAGGTTGTAAGTTATTTCTCCCTGAATAAACATCTATTCGGCCTATTTGTTTATCCTGATCCTTATTTACCGCAATACATAACATTAAAAAAAATTGCCTTAGCTTTTTCATCAGTGAGCCCAAAGTAGTTGGTTTTTTGAGTTGGGAAAACATCTCATATACTTGTTAAATAGGAAGATTCATTTGATGATTGCATATAAGAATTGAAAGAAGTTAATACTGAGACAGAAACCAAATAGAATATTGTTATAATATAGCTAGATAGTATGGACCCAAAGAGGAATGTGAAAGTCAGCATAACCCCCCCCCCCCAAAAAAAAAATGAAAAAGCTTTTAGTTGTCAATGAACTGATTAGCAGTGTCTGGGGGAAGGAAGGTATTAATTTACAAGTGTTTATCCCTAAAGCAATAACACTTGGGCACTAAAGAATTGTGGTCAGTTCATGTAGGGGTAATGGTACAGAAATTCTTGGTTGTATTTGAAAAGCGCTGGTAGAGAGAACAAAGACTTTGGATCAATTTTATTTTACTTGCTTTGCATTTTTTGGGGGGGGGAAATCAGGGTTTCTCTATTGCTTTGGAGCTCTTCCCTCCCTCCCTCCCTCCCTTCATTCCTTCCTTCCTTCTTTCCTTCCTTCCTTCCTTCCTTCCTTCCTGAGAGTAACAAGCTTTAATGCCAGTAAAATCAATAGACATGTAGCATTCATGTAAAAAAAACAAAACAAAACAAAAAAACCCAAAAAACCCTTACCAAACTGTATTATATTTTTATTGTCATAAAATATACAACTAAAAGTAAATGAAAATATTAATCTAAAAAAAGTTTCAGTTCACTAGATCTTCCATTCCTTGTGT